ACTGATCTCAAGTCACTCCTGACACACACACACTGAAAGTGGAATCACTATCTGAGTGTGGATTGAAGAGGCAATCCACACAAAATTTCTACATGAAAAATTGCAAATGTGAAATTTTGCAAATGTGAGGTTTTGCAAATGTTGCTGCATGGATTTTTGTAAATGTTTCCGCATGAAGTTTTGCGAATCTGTGTCAGAGGTTTGAATCCAGGGAGAGTGCAGATGAGCTCCCTCTGTCAGCTCCAGCTCCCCATTGTGGTGGAGGCTCCTTCTTTGGAAGCGTTTAAACAGAGGCTGGATGGCCATCTGTCGGGGGTGCTTTGAATGCAATATTCCTGCTTCTTGGCAGAATGGGGTTGGACTGGATGGCCCAGGAGGTCTCTTCCAACTCTAGGATTCTAGGATTCTATGAATGTTTCTGTCTGAAGTTTTGCAAATGTACCGGCATGAAATTTTGCAAATGTGTGTCAGAGGTTTGAATCTGGGGAGAGCGCAGATGAGCTCCCTCTATCAGCTCCAGCTCCCCAAGTGGAGACACGAGAGAAGACATGATTGCATGAAGCACCATTACCTTCTCACCAGAGCGGTACCTACTGATCTACTCACATTTGCATGTGTTTGAACTGCTAGGTCAGCAGAACTTCAGTGCCTGGAGCAAACTTTTGTTGAGAGGTGTTAATCTGTGCCTGGTTTTTTCCTCTCTGTTGTTGTGCTGTTCTAATTTTAGAGTTTTTTTAATACAGGTAGCCAGATTTTGTTCATTTTCATGGGTTATCTAATCACCTCTCAACAAAAGTTTGCTCCAGGCACTGTCAGACCATTATATGCTAATCAAGGTAGTCAGTTGAAACATTCCCACCTAGCTCCAGCAGACAAGAGTCCTTTGTCCCACCCTGGTCATTCCACAGATATATAAATCCTTTTTCCTAGTTCCAACAGACCTCACTACCTCTGAGGATGCTTGCCATAGATGCAGGCGAAACGTCAGGAGAGAATGCCTCTAGACCATGGCCATATAGCCCGAAAAAACCTACAACAACCCAGTGATTCCGGCCATGACAGCCTTTGACAATAGTCTTTACTGTTTATTTTGTATGTTTAAACTAAACAACATACAAACTCTAAAGTAAGATTAAACATTGAATAGTTCAATGTTTAATCTTACTTTAGAGTTTGTATGTTGTTTAGTTTTCAAACGATGTGTTGTATTATTTTTAGTAAGTTGCATTAGGTCTCTTTTTAGAGAGATAATGCAAGAAATAATAATAATACACAACAACAACAACAACAACAACAACAACAAGGACGCTGGCACAAGCCAGTCAAGGTGGTCCCAGTGGTGATCGGCACACTGGGTGCAGTGCCTCAAGACCTTGACCTGCACTCAAACACAATTTGGTATCTATAGCAGAGAAAAGCACAGTGTAATCAGTGCTATATATATCTGAGCTTGTGGAGGAAATAATAATAGACTGGGTGCAGTGCCTCAAGACCTTGGCCTGCACTTAAAAACAAAATGACCATCTGCCAGCTGCAAAAGTCCACCTTACTGGCATCTGCATGCATTATTTGCCAATACATCACACAATCCTAGGAACTTGGGAAGTGTCTGATGTGTGATCCAATTCAACAGCCAGCAGAGTGTCGGCTGTGGACTCATCTTGTTGTGTTTCTGATAATAATAATAATAATAATAATAATAATAATAATAATAATAAGTCACCTGTGTCAAGGTTTTTTGTTTTTTTTTTAGGGGGAAGGCAACTCCAGTATATCTAATATCAATCAAGTTTCAGTGTCTTCAAGAAAGAAAGTCCCTCTCTGCGTCAATGCTGGCTGAAGAGGCGGTGGGCCCCACCACGAGGCGAGCATCGCCCCTTTAAATTCCTCAAAATACCGCTCTCTTCTCTTTTGAAGAGCCTTTCCTTTCCACTTTGCAAGAAAGTTCCAAAAGATAGGTATGGAGAGAGGAAGGTGAGGGTAATACACCTGTCTGGGGGGGGGGGGTCCACAGCCACCCCTTCCTCTTTTTCCAGCCTAATTTGGGAGACTTTGCTGCCCTTTGTGTGGGAGAGGCACTCTGCACATGCTCACAAGCCCCCTTTGCAAAGTGCAAGCAACAGAGGATTGTCCTTCTTAAGTGGGAGGGCCTTCAAGCCCCCTCTTTGCCCCCAAAATGAGGCGAGGGGGAGTCTCAGTCGCCCCCCAAGACCTCCTCAATGTGAGTAAAGCCCATTCAAGACATCCCTTGAATTCAAGGGAATCAACCTGAAGGTTGGGACCACAATAAACTACAAATCCCAGGATCCCATAAGATGGACCCGTGACTAAAATGGTATGAAATCACATTAATTCTCCAATGCGGGTGCCTGTCGGTCTACAAAAGTCACCTTTTCCCAAGTTTGCAGATTGTTATGGAGTTGACTGCACTTTGGAAGCACAGTAAGACATAAAAGCTCCTTTGTGCACTATGAATCCCAAGAAGGCCAACCCAAAGAAGAACAGAAAATGAACCCTCCTTTCCTTCGTTCCTTCCTTCCATTCTTTCCTTCTTCCTTCCTTCTTTCCCTTCTTTTTCCTTCCTTCCTTCCTTCCTTCCTTCCTTCCTTCCTTCCTTCCTTCCTTCCTTCCTTCCATCCTTCTTCTTTCCCTCCTTTTTTTCTTTCCTTCTTTCGCTCTTTTCGTCCTTCCTTCTGGCTGTCCTTTCCTTCTTCCCTCCTTCCCTCTTTTTTCCTTCCTTCCTTCCTCCCCTCCTTCCTTTCCTCCTTCCTTCACTCCCTCTTTCCTTCCTTCCATTCTTCCTTCCCTCCTTTTTTTTGCTTTCTTCCTTCCCTCTCTCCTTCCTTTCTTCTCTACCTTTCTTTCCTTTTCTCCTTCCCCCCTTCTTTCCCTCTTTTTCCTTCCTTCTTTCCTTCCTCCTCTCCTTCTTTCTTCCTTCTTCCTTCTTCCTTCTTCCTTCCCTTCTTTCTTTCCTTCTCTCCTTCCTTCCCTCTTTTTCCTCTTCCCTTCTTCTTCCTTCCTTCCTTCCTCCTTCCTTCCTTCCTTCCTTCCTTCCTTCCTTCCTCCTTCTTTCATTTCTTTTTCTTCCTTCCTTCCATCCTCCTCTTCCTCTTTCCTTCTTCCTTCATTCCTTCCCTTCTTTTTTCCTTCCTCCCCTCCTTCTTTCCTTTCTTTTTCTTCCTTCCTTCCATCCTTCTTTCTTCTTCCCTCCTTCCCAGTTTTTTTCCTTCCTTCTTCCTTCCATTTCCTTCTTTCCCTTCCTTCTTTTCTCCCTTCCTTCCTTCCTCTCTTTCCTTCTTCCTTTCCTTCTTCCTTCTTCCCTCCTTCCCTTTTTTCCTTCCTTCCTTCATTCTTCCTTCTTTTTCCCTTCTTTTTTGCTTCCTTCCTCCCTCCCTCCCTCCTTCCTTCTTTCTTTCCTTCTCCTTCCTTCCCTCCCCCTTCCCTTTTTCCTTCCTTCTTCTTCTTTCCTTCTTTCCCTTCTTTTTTCTTCCTTTCCTTTCCTTTCCCTTCCTCCCTCTTTCCTTCTTCCTTCCTTTTTCCTTCCTTCCTCCTTCCCTTCTTCTTCCTTCCCTCCTCCTTCTTCCTTCTTCCTCTTCTTTTCCTTCCTTTCCTCCCCTCCCTCCTTCCTTCCTTCCTTCTGTCCTTTCCTTCCTTCCCTCCCTCCCTCCCTCCCTCCCTCCCTCCTTCCTTCCTTCCTTCCTTCCTTCCTTCCTTCCTTCCTTCCTTCCTTCCTTCCTATGTGGAACAGATTAGGGAGATGGGGGTGTTTACCAGGAGAAAAGAAGGCTGCCAGAAAGGGAACCTGAGAGCCATGTTTACATATTTGAAAAGAAATCCCAATGGAGGAGGAGAAGGACAAGCTTGTTTTCTGCTGGGACACAACGGAGTCATAGATTTTAGGGCTGGGCGGTTTCGTTTCGTAATTTCGTAATTCGTTAAAAATTCGTTATTTTTTTATAACGAAGCGATTTTGAACCATTCAGGAGCATCTAAAAAACGAAACGAATTTTTCAATTCGTTTCGTAATTTTGCTTCGTATTCGTTTCGTATTCGTTTCGAAATCGTTTCGTTATTATTTCCGCATGTCTGGGGCAAGTTTTATAGTTGTTGTTTGTTTAATCAGTGAAAAAAAATTATAATATCACACCAACAGTCAACAACAGAGGGAGAGGGAAGCTTCAGAAGTTCCCCCTGTCCCATTTGGAGGTTTTTTAGCGTATTGCGCGGTCGCGTCCCCCATTAACGAATCGATTCGTTATTGTTTCGTTATTGTTTTGTAATTTTTTTACCATTTACGAAATTTCGTAAATATCGAACTTTTTTTTTAAAAAAAAATCGGAATTCTTTTAAATATCGAAACGCAAAAACCCCCAAAAAACGAATCGATTTTAGAAACAAATTTTTCCGTTGTTACCCAGGCCTAATAGATTTCAATTGCAAAGAAAGAGATTCCACTTAAACATTAGGAAGAATGGGTTGTTGATGGTTTTTTCGGGCTATATGGCCATGGTCTAGAGGCATTCTCTCCTGACGTTTCGCCTGCGTCTATGGCAAGCATCCTCAGAGGTAGTGAGGTCTGTTGGAACTAGGAAAATGGGTTTATCATAGGATTCTCCCCTATGAACCATCAAGGTTGTGAAGACCTTCTGGATGTACCCTGCTCTTGGTCCCACCATCCTCACAATTGCGTCTGGTGGGGACGAGGGACAGGGCCTTCTCGGTGGTGGCCCCTCGGCTCTGGAACTCCCTCCCATTGGAGATTAGAACTGCTCCTTCCCTCCTGACCTTTAGAAAGTTGGTGAAAACCTGGCTTTGGAATGGCCTGATGGTTAGAGCTGTTGGTGTGTGGAATCGGATCATGCCTGGAGTCTAATCTTCTGTGGAGGCTTCTGGATGGTCATCTGTCGGGAGTGGTTTGAATGTGCTGTTCCTGCCTGGCAGAAGGAGGTTGGACTGGATGGCCTTTGGAGGCCTCCCTCCCCACTCTGTGATTCTCTTACCTTCCTCTTGTGCCGGTGGATGTCCCCGATGGAGTTGGCCACAGAGTTGGGCCCCAGGAGCATGCGTGTGCTGCGCGGCCACTCCGTGCTGACCAGGCTGTGCTCCCCCATCAGGATGGTGCGCACGTTCTCGGCCCCCGTCACCCGGATCAAGGGCCGCCCCAGCAGGTGGGTCTTGAAGACCTGGCCGTACTTCTCCCTCCGCGAGGATTGGAAGAAGGAGCCCTGAAGAGCAAGGAGAGCAGAAGAGAGTCAAGCCTTGGCACAAAGACATCGGCAGCAAAGCATGCATCCAGGACCGAGCCAACTTCGGCCTTCCCTCCAGGTGTTTTGGACTCCAACTCCCACAATTCCTAACAGCCGGTAGGCTGTTAGGAATTGTGGGAGTTGGAGTCCAAAACACCTGGAGGGCCGAAGTGCTATAGCATCCTGAGAGGTCATAGTTTGGCAAAGTTGTGTGCGCTCCCTATGCACATCTATATTATGGAATTAATGGCTCAATCCTGGGAGTTGTAGTTTTGCAAGCTCTTTAGCCTTCTCTGGGTGCAACTACACTGTAGAACAAAGGTAGTTTGACCCCACTTCTGAATGCTCCAGAGCCCTGGGAGTTGTAGTTTGCACTCGTGCCACAGATGCATTCTCTTGACAGCACCAGAAGCGGAATTGCACACATGGCAATGTTGTCCCTTCCAGTGGCGAATTGCTCATGTATCTGTATGTGCTATATGTGTGGCAGAAGTGTGCTACAACATCATGCGCAGGAACATGGGCATTCTGTACATTGGGTTGTTGTAGGTTTTTCGGGCTGTCTGGTCATGTTCTAGAAGCATTCTCTCCTGACGTATCTGTATGTGCTACATGTGTGGCAGAAGATTCTGTAATACTACGTTTCCCAGGCTTCCACTTCACAGAGCCATACCCAATATGTCAAACCTCACTGGTTCTATGACGTAGATGCGCTCAGTGTCGCATAAACTCTGATTGGGCTGCACTTTTTCAGCCACAACGCCACATCCACCGGTTGAAATGCAACACCTGTACATCATGGTGCAACTATCTCCATGTGCAGATACAGCAATGCGCCACTGGAAGGGACAACGTTGCCGCGTGTGCAATTCTGCTTCCGCCGCTGTTAAGAGAATGCATCTGTGGCACGATGGTAAACAGTATGCGCTACAGGGTTGTTGTAGGTTTTTTTGGGCTGTATGGCCATGGTCTAGAAGCATTCTCTCCTGATGTTTTGCCTGCATCTGTGGTAGGCATCCTTAGAGGTTGTGAGACCTCCCAACCTCTGAGGATGCCTGCCATAGATGCAGGTGAAACGTCAGGAGAGAATGCTTCTAGGCATCCTCAGAGGTAGCGAGGGGGGTGGTGGTGGGGTGGAGGGTGGGGTGTAGTATGCGCTACATGTGTGGCACAGTTCATGCATGTGTGTGTCGCTAAGAGGAAGCCAACCTTCCTCAGATGAAGCAGATGTGTTTGTGAACTGCGCACTTGTTTACACATTGAGTATCTTTGCTATGCTTTTCCATCTTCGACAAGACTCAAAACAGCATCATGCTCAGGAACATGGGCATTCTGTACATTGGGTTGTTGTAGGTTTTTCGGGCTGTCTGGTCATGTTCTAGAAGCATTCTCTCCTGACATTTCGCCTGCATCTATGGCAGACATCCTTAGAAGTTGTGAGGTCTCACAACCTCTGAAGGCTCACAATGCAGGCGAAACATCAGGAGAGAATGCTTCTAGAACATGGCCAGACAGCCCGAAAAACCTACAACAACCCAGTGATTCCAGCCATGAAAGCCTTTGACAATACATTCTGTACATTACCTCACAGGAATTTACTAATGCGCATTCACCATCCCATGAGTGAAAAGCCTTGAGGCCCAAGAAGGTCCATAGATGTTTCCGTGTGGTTGCTCACTGGCAAAAGGAGAATTCTACACATGCTCAGATGTACACTGGGCTTTCCTGACCCACAAGAAACAGATCTGAAGAAAGACCCCAAAATATCCTAAACCAGTGTTTCTCAACCTGGGGGTCGGGACCCCTGGGGGGGTCATGAGGGGGGGTCAGAGGGGTCGCCAAAGACCATCAGAAAAACAATATTTTCTGTTGGTCATGGGGGTTCTGTGTTGAAAGATTGGCCCAATTCTATTGTTGTGGGGGTTCAGAATGCTCTTTGATTGTAGGTGAACTATAAATCCCAGCAACTACAACTCCCAAATGTCAAGGTCTATTTTCCCCAAACCACACTAGTGTTCACATTTGGGCATATTGAGTATTCGTGCCAAGTTTGGTCCAGATCCATCATTGTTTGAGTCCACAGTGCTCTCTGGATGTAGGTGAACTACAACTCCAAAACTCAAGGTCAATGCCCACCAACCCTTCCAGTATTTTCTGTTGGTCATGGGAGTTCTGTGTGCCAAGTTTGGTTCAATTCCATCATTGGTGGAGTTCAGAATGCTCTTTGATTGTAGGTGAACTATAAATCCCAGCAACTACAACTCCCAAATGACAAAATCAATACCCTCCCAACCCCATCAGTATTCAGATTTGAGTATTTGGGTATTTGTGCCAAATATGGTCCGTGAATGGAAATACATCCTGCATATCAGATATTTACATTACTATTCATAAGAGCAGCAAAATGACAGTTATGAAGTAGCAATGGAACTAATTTTATGGTTGGGGGTCACCATAACATGAGGAAGCGTGTTAAGGGGTCGTGGCATTAGGAAGGTTGAGAACCACTGTCCTAAACGATCAAGTGTGGCAGCAGTTTGCACTCATGCATCTCTAACCTGACATCCCCCCATTCCTTCAATGCCTACTTGAAGGCCTCCAAAGATGGAGAGCCCACCACCCTCCAAAGCCACCCATAAGACACAGCTAACAACAACATCAGCCAAGGTGGAATGCCTTCTCTCATTATTCAGATCCATTGCATTCTATCCCAACCTCTGGTAAACAAGAATGTAAACATGGCTCCAACATCTCAATTGTCCATCTGAGCTCCTAGGTGAACGTCCAACATCTCACTTCTCCATCTGATCTTCTCCTAAGTGAACATCTCCCAAAGTCATTTCCCAAAACACTCTTGGTTGACCTCCCAGAACATCAGATTAGAAGGAAGGTATCATGCCCAGGAGCATGGGCATTATGTGCACTATCTCACCAACCCATGAGTGAAATCCAAGCATGGAGGAGGTATTTCCACCAAGCTGTACGGAATAACAGCAGGGGGCGGACTACATGACCTTTGGGGGTCCCAACTCTACAGTTCCTTGGCTTGGATCTTAGTCTTTCTTGGCTGTGTGAACTTACGCAAAGCTAAGACTACCTTCAGAAGCACTTGGATGATTTGCAAGCTTCTTTAAAAGGCTGTCCGTGTGCCACTGCCGTGCACTTCTACATACACAGTGTGCATTATGTACCGTGCATATATTGCAGGGTACATTGTTATCCACTTTATACTCATGCCCATGCAACACTGCACATGAATGTCCATTTAACACTGACTCTTGGTGCACCATTACCATTCCACGTGGTTGTTTTAATTTATTTACTGTATTCTTATCGCACCTTTCTCAGGATAGAGCACTGAAGTTAGCTGATGCTCAGTATCCACATTCAGATCAAGGTTGTGGGACGAAAGATGTCCATGTGGCACCATTGTGCACTGTTTTGCATTTTTACACACTGTACAATGCATGACCCGCTTTACACATTGTGCAGGCTACAATGGTGCATGTTTGGCATTGCATATGGATACCTCACTGAGCACTGGCACACCTGTTGCAATGCTGAGCATACTGCATGGTGTGAGGATTCCTATGCATCGTGCACAGATAGCATTACACATTGATGCACACTTATTGGGACACTTAATGCCTCTAGAACATGGCCATATAGCCCGAAAAAAAACTACAACAACCCAGTGATTCCAGCCATGAAAGCCTTCGACAATACTTATTGGGACACTTTGAGCATTGCACATTGAGCAATGGTGCAACTACCGCATTGTGCATGCTACAGCGCAATCTCACCATCCACTAAGGAAACTACATTGCACAACAGACAAATACTTTTGCACGCATATAGTTACTCTCACTGAGGCACCCTTGACATTGCCAGGCAGTGCAGTTTGAAACTGTTATGTGGTCAGTGTAGACCAGGAATGGGCAAACTTGGGCTGCTAGGAATGGTGGGAGTTGCAGTCCAAAACACCTGGAGGGCCCAAGTTTGCCCATGCCCCATGTAGACGCATAGCATGCACTTCAACATACCTGAGTCTACCCCCTTGGGCTCCTTTCTCAGGCCCTCCTCTCTCACATCATCCTTTCCTTCCTTCCAACCTTTCGTCCTTCCTTCCCTCCTCTCTTCCTCTTTCTCTCCTTCCCTTCCACCCTTTCCTCCTTCCTTCCCCCCTCTCTCTTTCTCCTTCCTTCCTTCCCTTTTGTCTCTCCACCCTTCTCTCTTTTATCCTTTCCTTCCTTCTCTTTTTTCTTCCTCCTTCCCTTTCTTCCTTTTTTTTCCTTCCTTCCCTCTTTCCTCCTCCTTCCTCCTTCTTTTTCCCTCCTTCCTTCCACCCTTTTTCTCTTCCTTTCTCTCTCCTTCCTTCCTTCCTTTTCCTTTTCTCCCTTCCTTCTCCTTCTCTCCTCTTCCTTCTTCTTTCTTTCCTTCTCTTTCCCTTTCCCTTCCCTTTTGTCTTTCCTTCCTCCCTCTCTTTCCTCTTTTTCCTCCTTCCTTCTCCTTTCCTTCCTCCTTCCCTTCCTTTCTTCCATCCCTAGCTCTCTTTTCCCTATTACCTTCGCTTTTATCCTTCCCTCTCTCCCGCTTTCTCTTTCCTTCCTTCCCTTTTGTCTTCCTTTCCTTCTCTTCTCTCCTTCCTTCTTTCCCACTCCCTCCATTCCCTTCCACACTTCCTTCCTTCCTTCCTTCCTTCCTTCCTTCCTTCCTTCCTTCCTTCTCTCTTTCCTTCCTTCTTACCTCCCACATCTCCCTCTTTCTCCTTCTGTCCTTCCTCCCTTATCTTTCCTCCCTTTCTTCCTTCTTTCCCTCTTTCCTTCCTCCTTCCCTTCCTTCCATCCTTCCCTTTCATCCTTCCTTCCCTTTTGTCTTTCCTTCCTTCCCTCTTTCATCCCCTCTTCCCCCTCTCTCTCTTTCTCCTTCCATCCTTCTCTTCGTCCCTTTCATCCTTCTTTCCTTCTCTCTTTCCTTCC